TAGTTTTGCAGTAGTCAAGTTTTCCACATTTCTCAAGACATGTATTCAAACATTATATCCCAAAGAACTGCAAGACTGTTTGTAGTACCACAGTTTTGTGTAGGATGCATAGATAGTTGCTGTTTTCCAGCTGAGTTATTGAAGATCCTCTAGGGATTTTGTTTTGGTTGGTTGATTTATTTTTTAAAAAACAAGATTCCACACCAGAAATGCCTACTAGGCAAGCATAGCATGTACATACTTTCTAAAAATTCATTTCACAGCTGTGCTGGTTGTGGCTGGGGTAGAGTTAATTTTTCGTCACAGTAACTAGTTTGGGGCTATGTTTTGGATTTGTGCTGAAAACAGTGTTGATAATACAGGGATGTTTTAGTCACTGCTGAGCAGTGCTGACACAGAGTCAAGGCCTTTTCTGCTCCTCACACCACCCCACCAGCGAGGAGGCTGGGGGTGCACAAGAAGCTGGGAGGGGACACAGCCGGGACAGCTGACCCCAGCTGACCAAAGGGATATTCCATACCATATGATGTCATGCTCAGCATATAGAGCTGGGGGAAGAAGAAGGAAGGGGGGGACGTTTAGAGTGATGGCGCTTGTCTTCCCAAGTAACTGTTACGTGCGATGGAGCCCTGCTTTCCTGGAGATGGCTGAACACCTGCCTGCCGATGGGAAGGAGTGAATGAATTCCTTGTTTTGCTTTGCTTGCGTGCGCGGCTTTTGCTTTACCTATTAAACTGTCTTTATCTCAACCCATGAGTTTTCTCACTTTTCCCCTTCCAACTCTCTCCCCCATCCCAGCAGGGGGGAGTGAGCGAGCAGCTGTGTGGTGCTTAGTTGCCGGCTGGAGTTAAACCATGACAACAGCCTACCATCAGCTCAACCTCACAGTCCTCTCAGCAGTAAAAATCTGGTGCTTCCAGTTTGATTGACTGTCTTATCTTCTTATTCTATTAGGTTAGTTGATTTACCAAACATAACTGTAAGCAGTGGTATGTTTAGGAAGCAATGATGTAGGGGATTACAGCAGCTCATGGAGTGAGGACTTCTCAGTTAAGCTATGGGAGATTAAATTACTTTAGAACAAACATTTATTGTAACCTCTTTCTTACAAATCCAAGTTTATCTTGCCAAAAACTTTGTGCCTAGTGACTGAACAGGAATTATACTTAGCCTGAGAAATCTACTGCTGATTGGAAACATTACATGTACATGTCGATAGAGAAGTCTTTTTAAGCAATTGTACAGCTTCTCATTCCACTGGGGAAGGAGGATAAAGAAAAGGAAGAGCAGCAAGCACTATTCACGTTAAGAAGTTCTGCAGGCTTAATATACCCTGCTCTTCTTCTAACTAGTACTTTTTAACCCCCTGTTCCCTCCCTTGGGGGAAGCAAATTTCTCTAATCTGCGTGGGTCTTCCTCACCCATTTAACTGCCATTTGATTCATCTGTTCCCATGAAAGCTGCTGCTTTCTTGGGGAATTTTAAAAATTTGAGTGGATGTATGTGGGAAGAGCGCAGAATTCCTTCAATTACTGCAAAGACACCTCTGAAGCCAACATATGCTGGCTATATTCAAAAGGAAGACATCAAAGAAAGCAAACAGTAAAAACTACTTTTTAATCTAGTCATCATAAAAATAGATGACACCATACTTAACTGCTAGCATAACACACTAACTACAGTACTTCAGTAGAAATTAACATTTATCATAAAGAGAAAGTTGACACGATTACAAGTCAAGAAATGCTGAGACTAATAAGATGTTTCTTACAAAAAAGAAAGTCTTACAGGACTATTCAAACTATACAAAGAATCTTTCAAATTTTTATCAAGTAGAAGCCAACAACATCTTCCAAGTGCACATACTGGCAGCACTAAGATCTCTTTTGCTAAGCAACAAAGCAATATCATTTGGCATTTGTCTGTTTCATTGCCACCCCTCAGAACTACTGTTTCTGTGAAAGATTCTTTCTGAAGAAAGTATCTTTAGGAGAATGCAAGATCTCTTTACATAGAAATACATAAAATGCAAATGGAGACTCTTCCTTCTGCCTCTGTATCCTTTCTTTGTCCAAGAACTGTTGAAGTGGCACAAACTTTCTCTACTTAAAGAGGATAAACCATGTCATTGAAAAGAAAGGTTTTCACACTATACTTTGTTTCACCTGCTGTTTGAATCAAAGTCTGAGAGCCATTAAGCTACCTTCCTCTTGGTACCTACTAACCAAATCCGAGATGAAAAAAGAGAGATACTAATGACTCCAAAGACAGAACATCCACAGCTTATTACACACAAGTGAAGAAAAGCCATGAATGATTATCAGAGTTCAACTCTTATAGCCTCACTGATGACATCCATTTATACCATTATTTTTGAAGTGCCCAGGGTCTAGTTAGCATTTCAAGCCCTGCCATTCACATATGAAACAAAACCCAAGGTCAAACCCTTTATGTTGTAATTGGCAGCAAAACTGCAAGATTATAGCTAAAAGCTGTATTGTTTCCAATCAACTAATGAGGAAACAAGACTAGAACAAGAAACAACACAAATGAGAATTTGGAAATAAAAAGTTTCAGGAAGACAGACAAGAAAGAATTTTATAAAGATGCAGACTGGAAGATATACGACTGCCTCCCACACTACAGGGAGAGGGAATTTCTACTACTGCAAAGTTTATATAAGTAAAATTCCTGAACATGAAATCATACTTCGAACAGGAAAGCAGCAGGGAGCAGAAGCCATATAACTGATAAGGAAGACAGTCAAAAGAAAACATGCAGCATGGAATAGATACTTTTCTGAGAACTGTGACTATCAAAGCATGATTTGCCCTCACAGATTTCATTAATTTAGGAACCAAGAATGTGAAGATCTAACTGAGGCTTCTCCTACAGTCAGAGGATTTATAGAGTTCTCTTGCTCCTCCTCAATGCACGTTTCCTGTTGTGCAGTAAAACATAAGCTCATTCTTGTGCTTTTGTCTTCCCTGAAGGTACCTCCCTCTACTTCATTTAGTTTCACAAAACCCACCAGTATCTACCTGTATCCCTGTAAACTTACAAAATTTAGCCAAAAAATTAACAAACCATTAGGAAGGAAGAGAGTCAGTCAAAACTTGCTCATATAAACTTTGTTTCCACAGGAAACCAGGATAAGAGTTTACTAGCCCACAATCTGTCACGAAAACATAATGGACTGAAAAGAAAACATCAGTCTTCTTGTGTCACTGGCAAGTAGGATGCTTAACAGCTGATGATAGAAAGCATATTTGCAAGTGGGGGGAAAAGAATGAACAAGATTAGGTCACAAATAAGCAGAAAATTCCCATAGTTTATTCACCTTCTACATCAGAAGCAGTTCTAAAATGTAAGATTGTTCAAGGCTTCTTTTATTGTAATCCTCTAACCACAGACAGTATCTCTCTTTTAAGGATTTTTACCTCATTAGTGCAGTTAGACTATGCCCTTCAGCCTCTTTACTATAGCATCATCCAGGCTGGCTCAAGCCTCTTTCAGTAGCAGATGGAACTAAGTATTTGACTTTGCACTGAAGCAGATGAAAAGTGATCACATAAATACATTTGCTACATAAGTTGTAGTGCCACTCGGGAAGAGTGGGAATATAAAAAAAAGCTTTGTAATTAGTACTGCAGTGATCTTTTAGATATAAACCGACTCAAGATGGTTACTGCCAAAGTTTTTGCCTCAGCAACAGATACACAAGGATCCATTAATCACTAGTGTGCAGTGAGTTCTCTAGACATATATGGAATTCCTGTAAAAGCTGTAGCAAGCATCCAAATCTGCTGCTGAAACACTCTGGAGGCCCCCAAAGCTGAGAACAAATAAGACATATCAATGTAGTATCCAACTTTATTACATAGACGTAGGTACACGACACTTAAACAGCTGAAGTGGGACAACTCTATTATTCCCAGTTATTACATCTAGCACTTTACAGACAGAACAGAGCATGTGAGTGCACAGCCACTTTGATGCAAAGTCCAGTAGCTTAGCTGAAACTGTCAGAGAAGACTATTCAAGCTAAGCTGTTGGACTTTGTACTAAAGCAGCTGGAAGTACTTGCACACATTTCTTTTTGCCAGGAGTGCTACAAATTTGGGTAACTTCCAACCAAAGTTGACAACTGGAGTACGAAGAACTTAAGTCATCACAGCAAGATATGTCAGTGTGTGTTAACCTCCCAAAGACAATCATTAACTTGTTCAGAGATCTAAGTAATTATAGCTAAATTACATGTAAGCCTCTGCTCTGATGTAACAGTTTCTAGACAATATCCCTGAACACTAAGGATTCACGGAAGCAGAATCTTGCCCTTATGTACATGCACTTTTCCCACAAACCTAATTGACAAGTGAAAGCAAATGAGGACAGAATCCAGCCTCCGAATACTACAGTGTACCTGAAGACTTTTCACCCCTTACACAGGTGTCTACTGTTCCTGTAGCACTCGCCCTAACTAGATATCACAACACTTCACAGAAGGTTAATGAATTAAGCCTCAACACACCCGGTAGCTTAGCATCACCCTATGATGAGCCCTGAGGCACAGAGAGGAAGGATAACCAAACCGAGGCCACACATATGCATATACACGTACAATCGGCGAGGCAGGAGTAGGATATTGGCTGTCAATCCAGAAAGTTTCATGTACCGACATATAACAACTTCAGCTGCAGGGACGAGGGTCGACTGGGGGGCAGGAGGGGAGCAGGGCGGCCGGTGAGAAAAGGAGGACGCGCAGGAACCGAGAGGGCCGCGAAGAAGGGGGAGGGGAAGCGCGCCCTACCGCCTGGACCCTCACCACCGCGGAAAGCTCCCCAAGAGTCTGTCCCCAGGCAGGTCGCGGTTCCTGCCACCCCCCCAGCCTCACCCGGCCGACCCCCGGACGGAGGGCCCTGAAGGCTCCGAGCACATCCCTCCCTCCTCAGCCCACAGCGCCGCCTCGCCCACCCCAAGCCCTCGCCGCCGCCTCCTACCTTGGCCACATAGTCCTTCACCTCATCCAAGTCCCCATTTTTGAGGGCCCACATGAATTCCTTGTCAGACATCGCGGCCGCCTAGCAGAGACGCGGGCAGGCGAGGCGGCGAGGGGCCGGCAGCACCTCCACGGAGCG